TGGCTACAGGCCCCGCCCCACCACTCTACAGGTCTGGCTACATGCCCCGCCCCACCACTCTCCAGGTCTGGCTACAGGCCCCGCCCCACCACTCTCCAGGTCTGGCTACAGGCCCCGTCCAACCACATATCTATGTACAGGCCCCGCCCCACCACTCTCCATGTCTGGCTACAGGCTCTGTCCTGTTTTGCTGGAGGTCTGGCTACAGGCCCTGCCCCGCTGCTGGTCTGGCTACAGCCCTATAAATCTACCTCACAGCACTCCCCCACCACCGCAGTCCTGGCCTCCCCCTGGCTCGCGCCGTCCTCCGCCAGGTGCACGACCACACGGCTCTCCTCTCCCGGCACCTCCACGCGCACGCCGCGAGCCGACAGCTGCTCCCGCACGAACTCGGTGAGGACCGCGCAGCTGGGAGGACAGACAAGACAGGCGGGGGCTCAACACGCAGACGGGGCCGCAGGAGCGCAGGAGATCGGCACCGTGGGTGAAACCGGGGTGGCGTCACCGTCGGCCTGCACTCACGTCAAGTCCCTGTTGAACTCCTGCACAGGGTTGTAGAAAACCTCATTGGCACTGGGGAACAGAATGGAGGCTTTTCCTTCCTTGATGACTGTCTCTCCGGGCAACAGCCCGGGCTCCGCATCCATGGGTGTGTCCTGGGTGGGCGGGGCAGACCCCGGCTCTGTTTTCGCTGTGCCACTGTGGACGGGTGTGGCCCATCTCGAGTGGGCGAGGTCCTTTTCCAGCCCGCTCCCCAGTCCGGCCGGAGAGTGCCCTTCCTCCGGCGGGACTGGCGTGGGCGTGGCCGCTGCCACGGAGGGGCAGTCCGCGGAGCCGTCCAGTGGCGCTGCGTGGGGGCCGCCCTGGGAGCCCGGGCGGTCGGACTGAGGGTCCATACTCACCAGCCTCCTCTGGGCAGCGACGGGCGTCGCAGCACAGCGCCTCACTGTGGGCAGGGGCAGACGCAGGGCAGCACAGCGGAGCACAGGGCCCACCAGCATGGAGCGGCGCCTGAAAATCACACAGGAGCGCGCGTCAGCCCGTCCTGGGAACACCCTGTGTGGACGCAGCCTCTGGGCCTCTATCGAGAGGAGGGGTCTGCTCCAATTTGACTCCGAGCCGCCCTCAGGCCTGCCCGAGAGTCAGGGGAAGGATTCAGACACACAGCCTGTGACCCTCGCACGCAGACTTACACAGGGCGGAGCCATGCCTGGGCAGACACACCCACCATGAGCAAAATCCGACAGAAGGCAAGAGATCAGCCACAATCCAACAGCCCAGAGCAGGCCGTCCAGCCCCGCTGGCCTGTTTGACACAGAGCAGCTAGTGGATCACCTGGCTGACGACTGAAAGAAACCAAGATATCAGCTCCAGAGCACGGGAGGGCAGGCAGTACCACACTCCCACCACCCTTTGGGTAAAGAGGTGCCTCCTGCTCTCTGGCTTTTAAACCCACTTCCTCACAGGTTCCACTGGTGCCGTCAAAACCACAAAGTCCCTGACCCGGGCACGCACTGAGAAACGTGACTCTCGCACGCCAAAGGCTCGCCCCCCTCCCCCACAGTCAGTTACAGTGCAACCCCCCCGACACACGCGCAGAGACACAGACACGACACGAACGGCGCGTTTCTGCACAGCAGAATCACCCTGTGCGACACTCACCCCACTCACACAGCAGCTTCACAGCTATCGGTTTGAAGCGGTCTGTACAAAACTGCCCGTCTCTACAAAAGATGTCACCAAAGTCCGAGTTTAAGCTCTTTCGGTTTTGAGTCCCAGAGTAAAGACGCAGTAACAACAAGCCGCACGCTCTCACATGGAAGCAGTCGCGTGAAGATTGCAACTACGGAAGCCCACACGGATTAAGAAACGCGAGAGACGCGATGCTCGTCTTTTGGGGCGCGTCTCGCAGAGCAGACTGGCGAATCGCCTTGATGTTTCACCAGAAAGCTGATTCTGGTTTGCACATTGCCTGTTGTTGTTGTGCATCTTGCCTGTTGTCTCTTTCTTTTCATATACAATTGTATTGTTGTTGTTGTTGTTGTTGTTGTTGTTGTTGTTGTTGTTTTTACTGCTTACCGTCTGAGAGCTAGCTAAATAGCCATTCGTTTGACATATATACCTGTATATGAGTATAATGACAATAAACTCGAACTTGATTCCCGGAATAGTCGGGCTGTCCGGAGCCTACGTCCTGCCGGCACGAAGCTTGAGAAGCCAGAGAAACGCCCCACAAGACTTAGGGAGAACGTGCAAACTCCACACCAAAGGCACCTCAGTCCACCATGAGCTATGACCCCACGTGCCACCATACTGCCCCTTACAACTTATCACTGTTCATAGACTGTACAACACTGTCCAGCTCTTAATGGATGAATGACAGTCACGCACTGTGTAAGCGACACTGACTGAGAGACACAGTACAGTGACACACTGCGGTGGCACACTGCAGTTACACTCTAACAAACTGCGATGATTGAAACACTGCAGTATCATGCTGCTCTAATGCACTACACTGACACACAACAGCACAGTGACACACTGCAGTGACAATGACCAACATACTACAGTGACACGCAACACTACATTGATAACAACAGTGCAGTGACACACTACAGCTACACACCACAGTGACAATGACCAACATACTACAGTGACACTACACTAACACACTAAAGTGACACGCAACACTACATTGACACACAACAGTGCAGTGACACACTACAGCCACACACCGCAGTGACAATGACTGACGTGCTACAGTGACACACAACAACACAGTGACACCCTGTGGTGACACACTGACTGACCAGGAAGCTGGGGTTTCGAGTACGTCCTCTCAAGGTTTGAACTGGACACTCTGGACATTCCTCTTCTTCAGAACCACAGGGACTGATCCACTCAGGACAGACTGGACACAGCGAGCCTGTCTGTGGACACTAACCTTCTTCAGAACCGCAGGGACTGACCACAGCCGAGACACACTGGACACTGGACACAGCGAACCTGTCTGTGGACACTGACCTGCTTCAGAACCGCAGGGACTGAT